TGTTTAAACAAATACACTCGGTGGGGATGAGGCAAGGAAAATCCTGTTCTCTGCTCGCGTTTCTGCTTCCCTCTGCTCCTCCAGCAGGGACACTCAAAACACAGATGGAGATCAAGGCGTTAGGTTTTAACATATCCAAATCAATTTGATGTGTCCTTAAAAAATCCCACAGTCATTCCCAGTGGCATCGGCAGAGCTGCTAACAGCTGAGTGTGTGCCCAGTCACTTGTTGCTGCATGTACTGGTTTTCTCATCATGAAACCAGTCTTTCCCTGTCATGCGAAGACTCCAAGTGTGTTTTTTTGGTGGCAGCGACACAGGAGCATCTTTAGAAGTTACAAAGTGGGTTATCGGGAGTGTCACCATGGGAGCAGCAAAGCCGGGTTGTCATCTTGTGCTTCTGAGCAGGGCTGGTTCCCAGCTGCCTGGTGAGACCCCAGTCAGTGAGTGCCACATAAAAAGGCTCCGTGCAGGTGATCAAAAAAAGGATAATGGGTAATGCCTGGGAATCAAAACACCCAAGTCTCTGACCTGACAGTAGTGAAAATGGAGTACTCAGGCCCTTCCAGCAGTTCTCCAGAAGGCACAATCTACTTCTCAAAGGAGAGCCCTGTGCCTACTGGGAAGGAGCTGGCCCCCATTGCTTCCTAACATGAGATAGGGGAGGCAAGAGAACTGGCAGCCCACACTGCACTTACCCACTGGTGTGTGGCAGTGTCCTCATTTGTGTGAAAAATACGTATTTGGTGACTTGCAAAATCCCAAGAAGCTTCAAAATAGGAAGGATTATTCTTTTTATGCCACTGTTCCTTTATTCCTTCCCCTAGGCTCTCATAGTGGGATGGTGGGAACAGAGCTCTGTAATCCAGCCTCCCATCTGGAGCAGGACTGTCTCCCATACCAGATCATGTCAGCTGTGGCTTTGGCTGCCCAAAGCCTGGTCACTGCTGTGGGTGACCTGTTCCTGCTCTGTCTACCCTCCTAGTCCATTTTTTTTTTCCATAATATCCAATCTGAACCTCATAAGCCACAATATGGGGTCATTGCCCTTACCTGCCAATACCAAGAGCAGTGGCCCTCTCATCATCATGAACTCCCATCAATCCAGTGGGCAGGAACCTGTAGAATTTGCCACCAATTTCCCTTTTTTACTGGTTTTGTGTTCAGGAATCACTCCTTTTACTCCTGGGCATTGGTACTGAAGGAGAAAGGGGTTTCCTGTGGCCATGACTTCCCCAGCTGGGGAAGAGCAGTATCAGGCTCAAGCCCTGAGGAGAGGTGGGAATGTTCAATCCATGCAAATCCATAGGGCAAACTGTTTCTTCGAAGAAGAGTTCATTTGCTTTTCCCTGTGGCTTAGTCTACCAAAATTGAAGAGAGAGAATTCAGAAGTTGTTTGCATCAATTTTTAGTATAAAAGATTACAAGGGACTGAGTGCTAATGCACATTCCAGGCCTCTCCTATTATCTTACCCTTCTCCTGACTCACCTGGTCTGGTTGCTTTGTGTTGCTCCATCCTGGGGGAAGCAAAGCACTCAACATGGTGCTCACCTCTCCTGTGACCTCTCTGATGCCACACCTTTGTTGGATGACAGCAACAAAAACAGCACAGAAAATTCCCAAAAGGGTGAGGACTCCTTAATCCCTTCAGAAAACCAACCTGATACTTCGTGGGTGGGTCCCTGCTAGTCTCAGGGTAAATTAAAATCTCCTTCCTCATCCACAGCTCCCAGCCTTTCAGATCACACTAAATGCGAGGGCCAATCCCACGTGCCTCTGGCCCCTCTTGCCCCCTTGTTTGCAGAGGTGGTGCTTCATGGGGACAAGGGTATCACCCTCTTAAAATCCCAGCTGTCTTCCCTTTTCCTAATTCCACACGTGGCCGTCTAATCCATGGAACAATGGTTTGCCTGGAAGCCAGCAGGACAGTCCCCTCATGGCCACTGGCTTAGCTCAGCTGACAGTTTTGCAGCTTCTCCAGTGACCTCCCTCCATGTTTTCCACAACTCTGTTTCTCTCTGGACTGAATTCTTTGTCTATTTATTTAGCATCTTTCTTCCATCCTGTGTTTTGCGCAGACACATCACCATGGTACCGAGGTTCCCTGTGGTCAGTATTAGATATTAATCATTGAGATGTTGGAGGATTTGTCTCCATTTTCACAGGAAAAATTCACAGGATAAAAGAATTCAGTTGTCTGTGTTCTGGGATAGATTGTGAGTGAGACCAGACTCTTGGACCCCATTCCTGTGCAGTCAGGCCATCCTTTCCATCTGGGGCTTAAGGAAAGACACATTCCACAGGACAGACCCCAAACCCTATGTTATGAAATCGTGACATTTTCCTGCCTTCCCTGGATTTGTAAGGTTGTGATTTATCAAGCAAGAACACAGCAAACCAACACCTTGTTCTACAGCCTCACTGCAGGGATGATTCATATGGGCTGCTGATGGCAGGCACCTGAGACTGCATTTTGGCTGCTCTTCTGGAAACAGTGAGCCCTTTGTGGATATCTGGTCATTAGATGATGAATTTTTGTTTGCTCCCACCTGAGCTTACTTCAGGCTCAGATGCCACACATCTTCATTAATCCTCTTAGCCCTCCCTGATTTGGTTGCACCTTGTCACCTGAAAGAAAGGAATTTGATAATGCACCAGTGAAATGAGCTGCAGTGATCTGACATCCAAACCCAGAAACAGACAACACTTTCTCCAGAGAAAAGCCCCACCAGTTTCTCTGTCAGTTGTATTTAACTGGTACAGTGCCAGACCACCCCAAGGCTGGGACGTGTGCTGGGCAGTGCCTGGTGGCTGCTGGGATGGACTGGGGGCACACAGAGGGGCTTCTGTGGGCTGCATGGGGCTGTGGCAATGCTGAGGAGCAAAATCTCCAACACACAACAGCCACAAAATCTGTCTGAGTTCAGAAAAGCATATTCTGTAAGCTTGGGCTTGTTTAATGGGGGAAAAAATAAAAAAAAAAAAATTAAAAAAGGGAAGGGAAAAAAAAAAAAAGAAGAAGGGAAGGGGGGGGGGGGGGAAAGAAGGAACCTGCTGGAAAAGAGGAATTTCCAGGCTCCATGGCTGTGGGAGGTGCAGGCAGCCCAGATCCCACTGTGTCATGGGATTTCCCACAGGGATCCTTTCTGCCCTCAGCACACGGTCAGTGGTCTGGGCTGTGCCTTCACATGCAGCACCTCAGGGATTTCAGAGAGAGGCTTCACCCCTCTGAATTTGATGGCTTAATGGTTATGGCTTACTTATGGTTTAATGATATATAATGATGTAATTCTTCTGTTTTAACAATTTTCCCTGAAAGGCCGGGGTGACAGTAAATACATTTTGCTCTCAGCTCCTACGGCAGGGCAGCTGTTTGTTTGCAGCCTGCATGATAAAGCCTGTCCCAGCCCTGTCTCCCAAGGCATGGCAGGGCCGGCCTGTGAATCCCCAGCAGGGAATTCCCTGCTTGTCCAAAGGAATTGGGAATTTCTGATGGATTTTAGGTGCATGTGAAAGGCAGATGCCCAAACAGGAAATCTCCGAAGTTTTTCCCAGCAATCTCCTTAAACCTTTCAGAAGAAGTGAAACTTCGGTGCAGAAATAGGAAAAATGCAACTTTTTAAAAACTTTCTGCAAGGGTGGCAAAAATTTGTCCTTTCATAACAAACCAGCTGCATCCTTAACCATTGGAGAGCCTGTATCCCTTTGTTTTGGTAACAAATATCCCATCCCTGGTATGTTGTATCCATCTTCCCAGCTGCCCAGAAGCCAGTGCTGCTGCAGATTCTGAGGGCCAAACCTTGGCTCAGCTTGGCTTGGTGTCATACACACCAGAGATGCAATGGCTTTTCCTCATCATGAGTCATGAAAATGGGTGTGCCCTCAACTTCTTTTGGAGCACTTAACTGGAATAACTCAAATGGAGAGGGAACACCTTGTACCTTGCCTTGTGTGCTTGTGCTGGCCTTGCCACAGCCCTGGAGGAAACCAGGGATACTTGTCCTGCCTTAGAGAGGTCCTGGGCACAACATTTGTAGGTTTTCAAGGTGCCACATCTGTGCCCTTCTGGATCATAGATACAGAATATCTTGTGTTGGAAGGGACCCTCAAGGATCAGAGAAGTCCTGACTGTGATGTGGTGAATAGCAAAGTCCCCATGAAGCTGAGATTTCACGGGACTCTCCCAGAAATACAACTCATCAGATTTATGGTGTGCTTCTTTTCCTTTGGTGCAAAGTTGGGGGGGGATTTCACTAAAAATTACCTTTTCCATATGCGCATCTGCCTTCTACCCCAGATCTTGGGATTTATGTATCAGGCTACTGACAACCAAGCTGTTCTGGCTGAAAACCAAAGTATTTTTGTGCAAAAAGCATTAGCATTTCCCACGGGAACTGTGGTTTTCCAGTACCTTCTGCTTTCATTCTCCTTTCAGGACCAACTTTTGTTGCAGACCAACCTGCAGCTCCCAGGGTGTGCTCCCAGCTTTCCCAGACAGAGAGTGGCTGTGCTAAGCTATGAAAGTCTTTCGATTTTCAAGTCTTATGATTTTGGGTGAAAAAAAGGCTGCAAAACAAAATGTGGAAAACATAAAGGCTTTAAAGGACAAAAACTGAAGCCCAGTAGCACATTTTTGAGTCATGGTATTTTGCTGAATTTCTTTTTTTCTTCCATGTGGAATTCTGATAAAACCAAAATTGCGTATCAGCACTTTCTGAAGGTAAATACCTTTTCCTCCTAATTTCAGTCTAGTCTACTCCTATAACAAGAGTTGGCTTATGGGGGATTGTAACAACCTGACCAAATGCACCAAAAGCCACTTTTTAAAATCTAGGTTTTTTAAAAAGATATTTGTTGCCACAGTAGTGGTTTTCTGGTATTAACTGAGTTTTGTAAATGATAGCACCTCTGCTGACATACTGATAATTGGGTGTATTCTAGTCCGCCTAAGAAGAAAACGGGCTTCTTTTTTTTTTTTTTTTTTTTTTTTTTTTCCCAGTTGCAAAGTTCCTCCTGGAGTCAGAAAACAATGCACCCAGCTATGCCAATCCATGGAAATCACTGGTTGTGTTTATCCAGCAATTAAAGGGGGATTACAGCCGCTTCAGAGCTCGGCATCCCGTCCCTCCCCTGCCACACCGGGAGCCTCAAAGCCGCATTGTTCCCGCAGCCGCCGGCGGCAGCCCGGGCCAAGGAGGGATGGGAGAGGGGAGCTCCTGCCGGGAGCAGGTACAGACAACCGACAAACAGCGAAACAAAGGGCAAAGCGCGGGGCAAGGAACCGGAGGCTCGCTCTCTTCTTCCCGAGGTGTTTCCCTGCCCATCCTCGGTACGGGGCGGCAGGAAGGGAAACGTCCCCGCCAAGCCCCCCTGGCAATCATCCCGCGGGGGATGTGCCGGGCAGGGCTGTCCCGGTGCTGGGAGCGCTGATTGTGCGGGAAGGGATCCCTTTGGAGGCGGCATCCCCAGGGCCAGGGCCCCTGCTCTGCTCGGAGCTCCGGTTGGGGTGAAGCAGGGGCAAACGTGTGTCCCTTTGAGCAGGATCCCTTTGAGAGAATCCCTTTGGGAGGTTCCCTTTGAGCAGGATCCCTTTGGGAGGATCCCTTTGAGCAGGATCCCACTGAGCAGGATCCCTTTGGGAAGATCCCTTTGGGAGGATCCGTTTGGGAAGATCACTTTGAGAGGATCCCTTTGGGAAGATCCCTTTGAGATGATCCCTTTGGGAAGATCCCTTTGAGAGGATCCCTTTGGGAGGATCCCTTTGAGCAGGATCCCTTTGAGAGGATCCCTTTGGGAAGATCTCTTTGAGAGGATCCCTTTGGGAAGATCCCTTTGAGCAGGATCCCTTTAGGAGGATCCCTTTGAGCAGGATCCCTTTGAGCAGGATCCCTTTGGGAAGATCTCTTTGAGAGGATCCCTTTGGGAGGATCCCTTTGAGCAGGATCCCTTTGAGAGGATCCCTTTGAGAGGATCCCTTTGAGATTATCCCTTTGGGAGGATCCCTTTGAGAGGATCCCTTTGAGCAGGATCCCACTGAGCAGGATCCCTTTGGGAAGATCCCTTTGGGAGGATCCGTTTGGGAAGATCACTTTGAGAGGATCCCTTTGGGAAGATCCCTTTGGGGGATCCCTTTGAGAGGATCCCTTTGAGAGGATCCCTTTGAGCAGGATCCCTTCGAGAGGATCCTTTGGGAAGATCTCTTTGAGGGGATCCCTTTGGGAGGATTCCTTTGAGCAGGATCCCTTTGGGAAGATCCCTTTGAGCAGGATCCCTTTGGGAGGATCCCTTTGAGAGGATACCTTTGAGCAAGATCCCTTTGGGAGGATCCCTTTGAGAGGATCCCTTTGGGAAGATCCCATTGAGATGATCCCTTTGATAGGATCCCTTTGGGAGGATCCCTTTGGGAGGATCCCTTTGAGCGGGATCCCTTTGAGAGGATCCCTTTGGGAGGATCCCTTTGGGAGGATCCCTTTGAGCAGGATCCCTTTGGGAAGATCCCTTTGAGATTATCCCTTTGGGAAGATCCCTTTGAGAGGATCCCTTTGGGGGATCCCTTTGAGAGGATCCCTTTGGGAGGATCCCTTTGAGCAGGATCCCACTGAGCAGGATCCCTTTGGGAAGATCCCTTTGGGAGGATCCGTTTGGGAAGATCACTTTGAGCAGGATCCCTTTGGGACTATCCCTTTGGGAGGATCCCTTTGGGGGGATCCCTTTGAGAGGATCCCTTTGAGAGGATCCTTTGGGAAGATCCCTTTGAGGGGATCCCTTTGGGAGGATCCCTTTGAGAGGATCCCTTTGGGAGGATCCCATTGAGTAGGATCCCTTTGAGTGGCTCCAAGCGGCTCTGTGAGCAGGATCCCTTTGGGAAGATCCCTTTGGGAGGATCCCTTTGAGCAGATCCCTTTGAGCAGGATCCCTTTGGGAGGATCCCTTTGGGAGGATCCCATTGAGTAGGATCCCTTTGAGTGGCTCCAAGCGGCTCTGTGAGCGGGATCCCCGGGCTCCTGTGTCCACCAGCAGAGCCGGATTCCCGCTCCCCATGGAAACAGCCTCCCGCAGCGCCGTCCCTGCCCAGACAGCCCTAATCCTCCCTCTGCAGTCACCCTGAGCAGCCTCCGGCTCTTTTATCACCGAGGATCTTTTTTTGGCAAATATTTACAGGAGGCTGCGTTGCGGAGGGGGCAGTGAGCCACGGAGGGTGACAGGGGCCCACGGTGCTGGCAGGGACAGAGTGGGGGGCATGGCGTGGCCGTGGGGTCCCTGCGGCGTGTCCTCTGCCACCCTCCTGCGTTGGGGAGACATGGCCGTGCTCCCACAGGTAGCAGAGGACGAGGGACAAGGTGCTGGGGACAAGGACACAACGCACACACAGTGCCACCGAGGCACTGACTCCAGGCGTGGGGCTGTGGGAAAAGTTCAAGCAACCAACGAGAAATGGATGATCCCACCAGGAGCGGCGTGGGCAGAGCAGGAGAGCCCAAGGGGATCAGGAGGCGCTTCCTGGCCAGCCCCTCCATGGAGCTGCAGCTCCAGCTCCCGGAGCTCCCTCGTTCCCAAGGCTCCCAGAAACCCGTGCCTGCCCCACCCGCAGGGACACGCAGGGTTTGGACAATCTCGGCAAGAAACAGAGATCTGCAAAGCCACTGAAGAAGAAAACAGCGCCACCGGAAAGATAAAGCCCAAGCTCCCCACCAAAGCAGGCTTTGTGACGGTAAAGTGTTCCATCCCTGCTCTTGGTTTGACCTTGGTCATGGCCACAGCTGCACCAAAGCTGAGTGCCTCACTCCTCAAAATGACAGCACCTAGGGCCAGAAGTACCTGTGCACACAGGTGTAAGCTTGCTTTTCCTTTCTTTTCCCTCTGTAGTGTGGAGCCAGTAATTCCTCATGAAGGAAATATGAACGCAAAAGCTGAAGGGACTTCGTTACCCTGCTAATGGTACGTAAAATATATGGGGGCCTGAGAAGCATTGAGCTGGGAGCAATAATCAGCCCATGTGATGACATCCCACTGCCTGGGCAGGCAGCATCAAGAGCATCTGTGGGAATGAGTTGATGCTACACCATGCAAGAAAGGATATCTGAAGCCTTTTGCGGCAATTGTTGGATTTTTCTGTCTCCCTGTGTGGCTCTTCTGCACTCTAAACTGGGCGGTGCAAAAGGAGATGTGCACTGGCACAGGGACAGAGCAAGGGCCGTTGGGTTTTGGGTTGGTTCTGAAGCCCTTTTGCACACCCATGGAATCATGGATTAGTCTGTGCTGGAACAGACCTCTGAAGACCATCTAGTCCAAAACCATCTCCAACCAGACCAGGCTGCTCCGAGCCCAGTCCAACCTGACCGTGAATGATTCCAGGGATGAGGTGGTTGATGATGATGATGATGATGATGATGATAATGATGATGATGATGATGATGATGGTGATTTCATCCATCACCACTCTGGGCCGTCCCGTGTCCCTTGCTATAACACGGCAGTGCCGGTTACAGAGGTGACACTTGCTGCCAAAAACCCTGGCAAAGAAGAGACTCCATCTTTTCCTTGGGTTTTGCCTCAGCTTTGTCCCTCCTGCCTGCGGCAGCCGGCACTGCCCAGCACACTGCGTGGCTTGCAGGGGCATCTAGTGGCCGAAGGCTGCAGGAGAGATCCGGGCAGCGCAGAGGTTCCCGTGCCCTGTCCCACGCAGGGAAATGTCCCACAACCAGCGCCTGCAGAAATGCTGCCAGTTCTCTCCTGTAAGAGAGACCCGTTTTCCCCCAGCCCTTCCCCAAAATACCTGTTTTGGAGAAGCAGCACAGCTTTGCAGGTGGCATCAATCCTCCTTGTGCTGAACACGCGGCACTGATGCTCAGTGACAGTGGCACCCTGCACAAATCACCGTGGCTTCCTGGGCACAAACAGCTCTTTGGAGGGGGCCTGGACCTCTCCACAAGTTTTGGTTGGGTGATTTATTTAGCTCGGACATAGCTTAAAAAAACCAAAGGGGTCTCAGTGTTGGGTGGGAGGAAGAAAAAACATCCCGTGCTGTTTTGCAGAGCCAGAATTTCCTAGCGTGGTACAGGTGACCAGAGTTGAATCTGCTGCTGCCCAGGGGGATGTGGGCACAGCCTGGCCTCAGGAGTGGGAGGGGGACAGGGAGGAGCCAGGCACACTGCAGTGTCACCGAGCACTGCTTTCGCTGGCTTTAAATGTTCAGAGAATGATACCAAAAACTTTTGAATTTTGTCAAAAATTCCTTGGAAGTAAAAGTGCAGTATGGTGTATTGGACGCTGATAAAAAAGGCTCTTTTTTAAGGCCCCATGACTAATTTCTCCTGGATTTTATAGGAAAATGCACATAAAAGCAATTACTGGGGTGTGAATTATTTCGTTTCTTAATGGCCTGACAGCTTTGACAGCTCCTAGCTTGTTATCTAAGCTGTTATCACAAACCCTCTTGATCTCCCAACTTTAACATGACTTTTAATTATGCTTTCATAAGAGTAAAAGGACAGACAATCTGCAGTCTGGTTTCCAGTCAGTCAAACTTATTTAAACGAGAGAAACTTTTCCTCCTAGTAAGTAAAAAGGGTGATTGGATGTATAGAGAGGTTTAAATATGTGTCTAAAGAGATGTCTAAAAACAATTACACAGATAGGTTAGAGTCTGTTCCTTGTATGATTGCAGGCTGGAAAAAGAAGAAAAGTCAATTTAAGAGAACTTGGAGAACTTGGCAGCAATGGTGATGGACATCATACACACCAAGAGATATGAGCTGGAAATACAGTGTTAAAGTTAGAAAGATTACACTAAAATTACAGTCAAAGACACAATGAACAATGTTACCAAGTAAGTTTTCGATATTCTTCCAGATCAGTCATCAGACATGTGGGAGGGACCAGGTCAGGGGTGTTTGTACAACCTATTTTCTTTCTCCCTGTGCACTTGCATTGAAACACGTTCCTTAATGCAAACATCATATATTTATTTTTCTATATGACCTATTATAAGCATGTCTCATTGGAAAATAACAGCCTATATGATCAGAAGGGCTCTGGAGTTGCAGAGGTATTAAATAGATCCCATGCATCAGGTGTTTGTTGATCTTAAGTTAAAACAGCATGTTAGGGAAATGCCTCTCTCAACTGCATTTCTGTGGAAAATGTTTTTGTAGAGGGAAAATATAAGGAAAAGGTAAGATGAGAAAAGGGAAAAAAAAGTAACTTGAGAAATTCAGGGCAATAAATCAGCACACCAGATGGTATTCATCTGTGAATGCCGTGCAGAGCTACCAATTTGTAAAAACTGCACGGGAGTGTGCCATTAAAATGCAGACATAATATCTGCCCAGTCTCACTGCCCTTCTTTGGGGTGCCTGGGCAGCTGCAAGGTGACTTGGTTCTACCTGCCCACATCTCCAAGTGTCTTCAGAGTCCACTTGGCATCCCCACTGCAGCCTTGGAAAATTTTATGTGTCTTGGAAAATATGTGTCTGTTTACTGACTAATTCACTTAATCACAGCAAGGAAATGCAACTAAGTTGTTCTGAATAATCTCCTTGAAATCCAAGAGACTGATTTGCAACGATCTTTCTGCCAAGTGAGACTC